CATCGACTGTACGGTGGCTCCTCCCGGGCCCTCTGGTCCGTTCGTCCTAGACTTCCAGAAAATCTTCGAACGTCCACCTACCGCGAACGAGTATGGCATTGTATTCTCCGTCCAATAGCTGAGCCAATTTGCAGCACATGTGTTCGGAATGTTGCAGGGCTGGTAAATTGTAAGTTTCTTTGTCTCCCCTCCCTTTCTTATACTAATCAAGGAGTAGCCTTTCATTCTATTACAAACAGCATCACCCATCGCTGCATGAAAGCCGCATGATTTCCTTCCATGCTTTGTATCAAGTGTCGAACAGATGTTCCGAGCCATGGAATGGGAGTTCTGCTCTGGACAGAGTACTTGTATTTCGTTTGCTGACCGTACCATTGAGGGACGTTTTGGATCATGAGGAGGACGAGCTAGAAAAGAGCCTTCTTGCACGCGTTGTTCATTAATAGTAATATTTCTCAATTCATGTGCTCGACTATGTGTTCCTTCTTTGTCTGTGCTCATTGCCCATGATGATGAGTCCTTGACGAAACATTTCTTAACATGATGTTTCGTGGCGGTATTGGGAACAAAGATACGCCTGCAGCCCGGATATCAACTATACCACTAGCCATGCATACTGAACGACTACTCCTCTACCTCGCACAAAACTCTCTAGATGTTGGCAGCAGAATTCAGGAGCAGAATTCCCGACGCCCGGGGAAGCCAGTTCAAGATGCATACCGTGCAGAACCATCCTCTCAACTCATCCCCTCTGTCTCCACCCTTTTATGCCCCTCTCCTCTCCTCCCGTCCTCCTCCCAAACCACCCTCACCCTCCGTTACATATATCGATAAAAATTGCGACGTCATCAAACAGCACGCGCAACAGCTCTCTTCGCTCCCTTCTTTGGATGTGCACGCTGGTCACGGGTCTGGTCGTGTCGTTGCTGTGCTTCCTGCGGGAACAGCCTGCGTCTACGACTTATGTGGCGATAAATACTACTGCTACTGCCACCGCTACTGAGACAATGACTGTGGCTGTGTCGGTGAGGCTACCTTGCTGGAACTTGACGTCGACGCAGAAGGGGGCTAAGGGTGAGGTGTGAGGACGCGATGGGGAGTACTGTGGAGAAATGAGGGGTGGGGAATGTATTGGGGTCCCGGGAAGCAGGTGAATAGATGTCGTTTCCTGTCTTCTGGGGTGGAACGTGGTACTCATAGGTTATCACTCGGTATTGGTTTCTTTCTCTCGTTTAACTCTTTCCATTGTGGGACTGCATACTGTTACTTAGGCTGCAGTTCTTCGAAATAACAGTAATCCTCTCGAAATACGCAGAGACTCACGACACAAGTGAGTCGCTAGGTTACTGCTTGGAAGCAGCAGCTGGAATTTGATGGTACCGGAGTATATCCCACAACTAGGCCAATGGCCTAAGACACTTTGCTGCGATTGTAAAGAAATGGAGAACATTAGCGTTCTATTTCTTGTTCAATTGGAAAGAGATGGGTGGATTCTTCCACAATATAGATGCTGAGGGAATAAACTTACCTAATTACCGCCAGCCCGCGTAACCCCACCCCACCGTCTTGATCTTCATCCATACACCTAAGCTTTTGACTTGGCATAATTCACACCTCGTATGCCTGCAGGTAGTGCAAACCTTGCTGTTCTCGGTTCTGTTCTTGCATCTACAGCATCGCCAAGGTAAGCAATAAGCAAATGAATCTGATCGTGCTGCGGGCCCGGACGTTCTTTGTGTAGTTGCCGCTCCAACTGATACTCGTGACATGGCTGGACCTGAGTCTGCGGGTTGGGTTTTGACTTCCGCTCTTTCCTTCCCTTTTGTCGACGGTTCCTTTCCTGCAGTGGTGGGGTTTTCGAGTCGCTCCTTTGCTTTGACCTTCGATTTGTGCTTTACGACTCTCTCTTCGGTATCCACCTTTGCTTGTCGGGTTTTCCGGGATGCGCAAGTTCTTGACACCGGCTCTTGTTCTTTTGTGCCTTTTTCGAATTGAACCTTCTTGGTGTGTTCCATGGTGGTATGAGTCACTTGGGTTGTTTTTTCCTTTTCTGATTTCCCTCTGGCATGGGATGTTTCTTCCTTCTCCGATTTCTCCTTGGCCTGGGGTGTTTTTCCCTTCTCTGATTTCTCTCTAGCATTTTGGGATGCTTTTACAAGGTTCTCGTATTCCAGCTGCTTTCTGGCGGCTCGCTCGTTGGCTAGACGGTCTCTTTCAGCCTTCTCTTTGGCTTCAATCTTGGCTTTCTCGGTGCGGACTCGGGTGCCGTTTTGCTTATCGGCTGTGACGGCTTCGGTTTTTGCTTTCTCCTTGGCTTTCTCCTTGGTGGCCTTTTCCCTTTCAGCGGCTCCTTCAAATTCCTCTCTTATCGCCTTTTCTTTGGCAGCTTGCTCGAGATCTATCATTGCTGATATATCGCTGGCGATCTCTTCCTCTAGAGCCATTTCCTCAGCTTTCTCTCTGATATCCTCTTCCATTTCGATGATAGCTTCGAGGACTTCTTCTACTATATTTTCTTTCGTATCTTGCTCGAATAGCTCCTCTCCAGCTGATATTTCGCTGGCGATCACCTCCCTCTCAGAATTCTCCATTTCTTGAGCAGCCTTTGTATCGGCCTCTTCGATCCATGCTTCAGTCTCAGTTGTGGGAAGTGGAAGTGTCGATACTAAGCTTTCTAACTCGGGTTTGGGGGTCTTTGGTGACTGGAGCGTCGGTTTCCATGCTGGATGTTTGGGTATTTTCGAAATCGGGAGTGATTCTCCTGCTGCTGACATTGTTGCTGTCCTGGGATTTGTAGATATTCTGTGAGAACTTTAATTTAGAAAGTAAATGCCGGGCTGATATACTCCTGACCGGTGTTCAACTTGACAAGAGTCAAGTTGAATTTGCTTACAGTCAGTCCCATTGCAATTGCTCAAATATTTTTCCAGCATAAGACCATGGCAGGAGAGTGACCTTACAAGTCGGTTGTGTCAGGAGAACGTGTACATATTCTAGGATTTTCCTTTATCTGCCATAGGAGGCCCTATTGCAAGAATGATTCTGAATAAAACAATGACCATGGGAGGACGGTCTGCTGGGATGAATGCAATGATGTAGTACCAGAAACACCTCTGGAATTACCTGATAACTTGCCGCTTCATATTCCTTACAAATTACTATATATATGATCCCCTTACAATGCCTGCCCCCGCTATTTACCATCCACCATCGCCTGTAACACTCGGTGCATTATCAGCTACCGATACTCCACCCCAAGAATCTTCAGTGCCAGCACCATCCTCAGGAATAACACTTTCACTCCCATCCCAATAACCTTCGTCCCTGGTCGTATCGTTCTAAAACTCTCGTTCGAGTTCCCACTCCTAACGCTCTCACTACTGGCGGCTTTGCTCCCATTCTTGCTTCTTCCACTCTTACTCTTGCTCTTGCTCTTGCTCTTAACATCCCCACCACCCTCAACAGGCCCAGGTCCAACGGCACCAGCAAGACGATACACCATCTTAACACTCATCCACATCCCCAAGTGTTTCAAGAAGCAGGAATCGCAGCGTATTTGGGGTTTACAAGATGCACATATCTTCCCGAGAGAGTCGTGCTTGTATTGTTCCATGACAGTGTTACAGTGACAGCAACGCCAGAGGAAGAGGGGTCTGCGTGGTCGGGGAGTTAGGGGTTGCATTGTGCTCTAATTCTGGTTGTTTTTCTTGATGTTCTTGATGTTCTTATTTTTCTGGATGTTTCTGGTACTATTATTGCGAATGAGGATGGGAAACGGGGGGACATTTTATTACGTGCTGGAGGGAGGTTTCTGCCTTAATAGTCTCGGATGCAATGCTTCGAGATCAAGATGTGGATGGAAAACAAAGAAGTTGGTATAAAGATGTCAGGCGGTGGATCTGAAGGTCGTTTCATTATGACAGGTAAACTCTAACCAAAGGCATATGTTTCGGGTACGATAAGGTCCTTCAGTCTGGTATCAGGTTTTGGATGGGATTGGAAGTGAGCTCGTCTTGAGATTGCGTAGCCTTTTGTCTCTGGCTTTGGGTTGTTGTAATAGGTTGTTTTGTTCGAGGTTCTTGCCAATATTTTTTTTGTTATACGTTATGGTGCGCACAGCCTCGGACCTGGGTAATTAATCACAAAGGTTTTCTCACCAAGAATACCGTTGTTTGTATTGGGGCAGGCAGCAAGAGGTGTTCCAACCAGCCACTCTATAATATTATGGAACCCCCTCTGGCAATGAAATATACAGTATGCAAATCAGCCCTTGGAATACTACTACGAGAGCAGATAGAATTGGCAGTATGAGATGTCGTTAGGTAGAGTTCATTCCTGACCACTGAACTATTTGGCGTGCACTGAATTTCCTAATACCCAGGTTCGAGGCCGCGCGCACCATACATGTTTGATTTCAGACATGATAATGTTGGAAATCTACTCGACCCCGCCGCCCAGGTCCGGTCAATTTGGTCTTGCCATCTTGTATATAGAGTGTCCGGTAGACAATTAGAGACGGTATCGCTTTTGGACTTTCTCACAGTGCCCGCTACTTCCAATAGATAATGCAAAGTAACGACCATAGCCCATAGAATTTTTTGTTCCGGTGAAAGTCCATGATCAATGAATTACGGCTGGGTAGAGTAAAAGAGTAGACTCTGCAGGTTTGTAGCCTACGATCTTGGTGTTTACATCACCAATTTAATATTACGGGTTTCATGCCAGTGAATGTTTACAGCACTGCAGGTTTCGAACCTGCACCGGCCTAGTGTTTCTAGCACCAGGCTTTAAAGCTTTCCGGCTAAGCTTAGTGCTCAGCTGTTATATATTGGTCGACTTCAGCCATTTCTAGTGTATGAGACCTGTGGCGTCGTTCATTGAGTGGGCGGGCGACAAGGAGAAGCAAAAAAGAGTGAACTACAGGTTTTGAGCCTGTGATATTGGTAATTACAGCACCAGCTTATATTGCAGGTTTCATGTCCGCGAGAAGCGAGTGTTTACAGCACCGCAGGTTTCGAACCTGCGCCTAGCTAGCCTGGTGTTTCCAGCACCATGCCTGCCGGCTGAGCCAAGTGCTCAGCTGTTGTATATGCGCTTGATTTGCGCCATTATCATGTGAATTTCCAGCGCAGTGTATGATTTCGGGGCAGGGCCCGCGGTGTTTCTTGTTAACTGAGCGGCCGTAAACTCGACATATCGAGGTATTCCTGTCTCTTAAACTCAGCGAGCAATAATCCATACGATGAGGTTTGTATAGCTTTGTGAAAATGATTGGTTCGTCTGCGTACGTACCAAGTCGCAATATCAATTCGTATGGACAAAGAATTCATTAACAATATCTTGACTGTTTTGAAAAATATGAGGCCATTGACAGTAATTAACTACCTAACATCTCTCGGGCCACCAGGAATGTTTTTGGCAATAAGTATGTGAAAAATATCCGCTTGATGAGAAAATGACCATACCATATAAATACCGTACCGCCCTCGATCGAGTCTCGTCTGTGAGTACAATAGTCTAATATATAACTATCTAAACCACGTCCTTCCAATCCCTCCCTCCCACCAACTGTAATAATCTCAACCAATGCGTTAGCACAAAATGATATCTGCCGTGTGACGCTTCAACGTCGCACATAGATAGAGTCTGTGTAACGCTAGCAACCTTGATGGATCACCTCATCATGCACCACCATGAGTCACCAACCAGCACTTCATAAACCCCCTCACCACCTCCCCAATTCCAACTCCACACCCACCATGCCCCGCATCCCCAAAACCAAAAAACGCACCCCCTCTCCCCCCTCCTCCTCCTCCTCCTCCTCCTCCTCCACGACAATCTACTTCTTCGGCCCCACCAACCCTCACGGGCACTTCTCACAACACTTCCCCTGCCTCTTCACCTCCTCCGACTCCCACGTCTACACCAGCACGGAGCAATACATGATGCATCGCAAAGCCCTCCTCTTCGCTCCCACCTCCTCCTACCCCTCCCAAATCCTTTCCACCACCAACCCTCGTGCCTGCAAAGCGCTGGGAAGGGAGGTACCCGGGTTTGATCCCAAGGTTTGGAATCAGCATAGGGAAAGGATCGTGGAGGAGGGGAATTGGTATAAGTTTTCGCAGGATGAAGGGTTGAAGAAACTTCTGCTGGAGACGGGGGAAAGGGAGTTGGTGGAGGCGGCTCCGAGGGATAGGGTTTGGGGGATTGGGTTTGGGAAGGAGAGGGCGGAGGGGATGAGGGAGAGGTGGGGGTTGAATTTGTTGGGGAAGTGCTTGGAGAGGGTTAGGGGGAGGTTAAGGGAGGAGGAAGGGAAGGAGGGGGAGGGGGAAGTGTAGTGGTTTTGGGCGGTTTATGAAATACATACCCATCTCCATAGTTGGCGACTTGGGTAGGTATGATTCAGTCGTACTTGTAGTTGTGGAACTCTGTCTGTGGCTATTGCATTTGGTATGAGCTAAGGTGACTATGGGAGAGTTCAGTGCTTGCGGGAGGAGCCGGTTGGTTGGTCTGGCTTCCGGCGAGAATGGGGTCGGGAAATATATTCGGGACGTATGCTAATGTGACAATATATGGAGCTCGTTGCGGGAAAAAGTGTCAAAGGTCAAGAATATTGAGGATGACGAGAGGACTGGAAGGAAGTAGTGTAGATGTTGGGCTATATTGTGCAAACGAGATTCGATTGAGGGCGGCCGCGCACGTGTTTCTCGATAACTCTAATATATATCCATGGACCGATCGCGAGTCTTCCGGCTTCGAACAAGGACTCCCCTCCATCCAAAAATGGTGATGCCGAGAGCAATTACCTTACTTTCGGGGTTCTGTTCAGCTGGTATCAGGAGTGCTCGAAGCAAAGTTCAGAGATTCATTGTTAGATTAAATAAGATTATGTGTTTTGGGCATATCAAGAGAGTATTTTGTCGGCCCTTAAGCTTTTCTTCTCTCGACATCTACCTTCTTTCGTAGATCAATTACCGTGTCGTGCTTCTCTTCTTTCCCTTCTATTGCTCTTTCAGCATCCCCAGAAATATATACACTACCATGACCATCTAAACACTGCAAGGCCGCGTGTGCATACCTTAATCTGTTAGGATCCATCAGGCTATCATAAGAATAAATCTGTTGCTTCCTGTCCATAAGAATGACGGTATAATCGATATAAGTTGTCTCTCCACCGATTGGTCCAGAACGACGAGAAGTACCAAAAGCTTACGATGGTATCAGAATTAGTGGAAAATCATTCGGCAAGGAAAGAATGGGTGCAAATCTTACAACTTCTTGCTCGAAGGCATCAATTGTGGTTCTCGAGTCCCTACTGTAAACATTGAACGAAAGCCTTTCAAGAAGCTCGTAAAATTTGTCGAAATCGGTGAGTTCGAAGGCAACAGTGAGGGAGCATGTCTGAGGATCTGAGAAGACGTCCCATGATCTGACAACACACGGCCCTGATTCACCAATTCGTCTGATCATTGCATGTCTTTCTAACAGGTACGTAATTCCTTTTTTGTAATTCTCCTCGACGTGCGGGAGCGTGACTGAGGTCTGACACCATACTGTGAAGTTCGTGTAGACTCGGCTGTAGGATTTCCAGAATTGTTGCTGAGAGTGCACGTAAGATCTCGTCTTGTCTCGTCCATGGTAGTGAGCAGGATCGATAAGTCTTTGAATTGTAAATGTCTCGTGCCCAGACTCCGGAAATAAATCTTGCAGTAAGTGAGTGAGCGAGGTTAGAAATCTGGGGACGAGAGAATAGTAGTAACTTCGAGTGGGAAGGATAACACGACGGAATGGAAAGACTGCAAGACCGAGGGCTGTGGAAAGATATTTGCACGAACTATTCGAAGACACTGACGAGCATTAGGTACCTTCGTCCGACGTCTATCTAGCATACGGCATTCTCGGCAAGCTCAATCCCTAACCCATCCCGTTCCCCGCTACCCCACCTCACCTCCGCCATTCTCACTCCACCAGCCAACCATGACCGACGAAACCCAAACATTCCTCCAAATCCGCGACTACGCCTGGGACACCAACGCTGAATTCCAGGTAGGTTCCCATCCTCCCCCCCCTCTTTTCTCCTCCTCTACTTACAATCCCAGAGCGGCCTCCGCACGATCCTCGCCTCCGCACCCGCCTCCCACATCGACATTCTCACGAACCGCGCAAAATGCTTCTACTTCCAAAAGTGCCACCCCCCCCCCCCCCCCACACCCCGGGAGCGAAACAGGGGGGCTAATATGGGCGAAAGGAAAACACGCATACCGGTGAATGATATGGCGTACCAGGAGTGGCTTGATGCGGGAGGAGGTGGTGGTGGTGAGGGAGAAGGGGGAGGGGGGGTGGAAGATGATGCACCATACCCAAAGAGTTTTGCGGAGCTAGTAGAACTTATTACTGCGGGGAAACCAATCCCTGGGATTAAAGAGATTCCGGATGTTGTGTTAGAGCCGCCGAAGGAGGAGAGTAAGGTACCAATAAGGAAGAAGCCGTGGGAGGTTGCGAAGGAGGAAGGGGTGGGGGAGAGGAAGGGAAAGGGAAAAGAGAAAGAGGAGGTGGTGGTGGTGGGAGGGAATAATGAGAAGGAGAAAGAGGAGATCGTGGAGGAGAAGGGAGATGAGAAGGTGGAAGAGAAGGAGGAAGGGGGGAAAGAGGAGACAAAAGTGGGACTGAGAACGGGAAAGGAGAAGTGAGAAAGAGGGATAAAGACCGATGGGGGTATTAGGGAGACGAAAATGGAGTTCGGCGTTATGTTTTTCTGGGATACCTTTGGGAATATATTCATCTATAAGCTTATTGAGCTTTCCCTTGTGTTGTGGCCGCGGTCTTTAAAATAGTGCTGAGTGCTATCTACAAGCCCCAAAATGTTTCCTTGACACAAAAGCGCTTTATAATTCGGCACTTCCGTCATTAGCTGTTGCCCTCACTTCAAACCCCTCCACGCCCTTTGCTGGCTCAGCCTTTAGGATTTTCTCTCCTTGCTCAGTCGGTCTTCCAAAATCATCTTGCCCTAGCTTCCCGTCTACCATCTCCGTCACTTCTGGCTCAACCCCATCCTCTCCTTCACCAATCTCCAATCTCGCCCCCAAACCTTCATCTACCACATCTGGTGGGGCCAATCTGTACGATCTTTCACTCTTCCCCTCTAAAACTTCCAACACGCCATAAAACGCCTCAAACTTCCACCCCAACGCCTCCCCCTCCTCTTCCTCAATCTCTTCACCACGCTCCACAAGCGCCAACCCAAACGCTCTCAACTCCACCATCCTCAACCCCTCCAAAACCCTGACCACCTGCCTCAACAAGAAAAACGCATTCCTATGCAGCGCCTTCCTTTCCTCCAACACCCTAATCGCACCCTCAACCCGCTTCTGCGCCCTAAAAAGCTCATGATCCATAGCACCACACAGCACCCGCAGCGTCGCAACATGCCCCGCGAAGTTCCTCCTGATTGTTGATTCCCTTGCCACTGTGGTTCGGGGGACCCCGCGTTCCCACGATGTTGCGGGGCGCGGGATGCTGGGGTTTTGGTGGAGGAGGTATCCGGAGAAGCGGAAGAGAGAGCTGATGGAGAGGGAGATGGTGGAGTCGAGAGAGGTTTGGGTTTCCTGCAGGAACCGTTGGGTGGATACTACTTCTTGTGCGAAGGTGAAGAGGGAATCTGCGTTTGTGATCTCGTCGCGGGTTCGGGCGAGACGCTGCTGGATTGTTGCTTCCGTGTGGAGATTGGCGGCGAGGGTGGAGAGGGTTTGCGGGATTGGAAGGAAGTAGGTGGAGGTTGCGTTTTGGAAGGTGAGGAGGGCAGTGGAATGTCGTGTGGTATGTGAGAGGAGGAAATGCGTGGTTTGAGTACGGGAGGCGTGCCAGGAGGTACAGAGGGGGTCGAGGAGACAATGTATTGGTAGTATTGCGTAGGCCACAGTAGTGCGGGAATACAGCGCGAGTAATATGGCGAAGACTACCGTGATGATAACTTTGAGAGGTGTTGGTGCGAAGAAGTTGAAGATTTTGTTGATGCGACTCTGTTTCTCCATCAACGGTGAGTATAAATTCCGCAGCCGCTCACTTCTTCGGACCCCA